TCAAAAATTCGTTCACCTTGATGCCACCAATGATAGCCTTGTGCGAAGGCGCTTTCTCGTGGTGCAAAATCCAAGAATTTTCTTTCCACAAATCTGGCCTTTTTCGTAGAATTTGCTCTCTTCAACGCCGCATAAAGCTCAAATAATATTCTTTATTTACCGTTAGACCTTCCGGTAAGAATTCAGAGTGCACAACAGCGCGATAGTCAAAGAAAACAGTCAACATGACTTTGACTTTTGATCGACTTTGGCGTGGTTTTTTCGGTTTCGGTTCAGTTGGAAGGCGCCACTCCGAAGCTTGTTGACTAGTTTGCATGCCAAACTCATAAACCCACGTCTCGTCACCAGTAACAATGCGTTTCATGAATGTTGGGTCCAAACTGACTCGTTCTAGCATATCCTCAGCGACTTTCATGCGATTGAGATTTTGGAGAAAATTTAGATCTTTTGGAACTAGTCGAGCAGCAACATGTTTCATACCCTTTAATGTATAGTATAGATTAGTTAAAATGGTACGGATCGACTCGTGAGATACAGAAAGTTCGGCGGCTATCTCTCTCAGAGTTGAATGGGGATTTTCAGTCACTATTTCCTTCACTTTTGCGATGTTAACTACAGTTGCAGACCAGAGCGAGGCAAATCTTCCATCACATCTCGACCGCTTTTGAACGCTTTGAACCACTCATAAGCACGAGTTTTTGATAAAGTCGATTCACCGTAAGCTTTCTGTAACATTTTTAGTGACTCCGAACACGAAATTCCATTGGCGATGCAAAATTTAAGACAAACTCTTTGATCGATATTTGTGTCCATTATGAAATTCACAATATACATTATATATGATATTTCTGAAACCAGCGCTGTATTTAATATAAATAACAGATGCAACTCAAACTCCGCGCCAAAATGGAAAACAGTTGTGCCAATCTAACAACTACATAAAAACAAAAATTTGAATTTGGAACCATAAACAAATCATCCATTCCCGATACTTTTTTGAGTGAATGTAGGTATATACGCATCACAAAGTACCTATTAATTTAGTTCTGAAAATAAAAATAGAATAAGATCATTATAAATGAAAATACCCGCCTATTGGGTTTTTTCCCACATAAAAACCGGGTTTTTTCCCAAATGGGAAAAAACCTGGGTTTTTTCCCTTTGGGTTTTTTCCCAGTGCCCATCTCTACTTGGAAGTAAGCGATGACGCGGCCAATGATGGAGCACGCCTGTCTATAAGCAAACTATTCACTCGGGACTTGAAGACACCGAAGTTGTATCCTGCTGGAACCACTCTGGCAAAGAATTCCACTCCTTAGCGGTTCATACAAACAGAAAGCTAGGTGCAAGAGAATGTTCATATTAACCGTCAGTTAAAAAAAATCTTAATCAGACATTGTGAAACAGTCCTTAGTAAAAAAATCAGTAATTTGTGAACTTGAGTAATTTTTATTACAAGTAGACAATAGACATGTCATTATTCAACGATTGTAACAATATTTTTCTTTGGCTATATTTTTCTGTCACATTCAATATTGTCGACTATTTTGAGAGTATCATATATTACGTTATTATTTCAGTGATGGCAGGAAGGATTCATTATCACATGTAATATGTTCATCGGCAACAAAGCTTATGGTTGCTTTGATGGTGATTTTTTTAATACCGGAAGACTAAATACTCTTTTATTTATGGAATAGGGGGCAAATGAGCAGACGGATCACCCGATGGTTAAGGTCACTTAAATAATTCTAGTATAGAAATGGAACCTAATAGAAAAAGTTATCCACTCAAATAGTTTTTGAACAAAAAAATGCAACAAAACCTTAATTTGATTAGGTATTTAGTGAGTAAATTAAGTAAGTACCAAAACTAGCTAGTATTCTCAAAATAATCATGAATTCGTTTAAAAAATGAATATTGTTATACTAATATTTGATTCAATTTGTATTTTAGTTTCAATGTGGCAATTCACACTCTAGCTAAAACAGTCTGGTCAAAACAATTATCCTTCTTAAGTTATATTAATATTCCAAAGAATTAGTACACTCTTACATAGAACATTGCTTATCCTTGCAGTGTATTGTGAACTAATTTTAAACTACAAAGTCTTACAATAAGTTGGTCATAATTACCATTTATAATAATCATACTAAATTCTATCTACGTATTCCAATTTGTATGTACTAAATTTGTTCACTGCTATCCGCATCCCTTTTCTCAGTCTCCGCTTTCTTCAATTTCTTCGCTTTTATATCAGCCATAGTCTGTTCGATAGACCGCTGATCTTTCTTATTCTCACTAGGAACTTCTCCATAACTTTTGTTAACATTCGTTTTCTGGGCAGCATCGATAGCAGCCTCTTGACCAATCAAATGAGCATACTTCTGTTTATAGAATGTACCACTCAATTCCTCCTGACCACGTTTACGTTTCCTATTTTTCTCTTCTTCTAAATCTAGAGCTGCTTGCTTCTGTTTTTCAAAATGTGCTAAAGCCATTTCAGCTGCTTTGTCTTCACTCCACACTCCGCCGGCTCTACGTACTGTCAGTTCATCTTCAGAAGGGCCATTGTCTTTGAAGTACACCACAGAATACCGGTCTATGCCTTCTTGGCCAAATGAGAAGACTTGTAAACCAGCAATTTCTGATACATCTCTGATAATAGACCTATACATCTGTTCCATAGGTTCAAATTGTAGATGTGGTTTTTTACCGTCTTTTATGAAATTGCTTATTTTCTCTTCAACACGTTTTCTGAATCTATTTATCATATTCCGTTCCTCTTTCTGTCTGTTTTCCATTGCCTCTTTTTGTTTGCGCATGGCAGTTTTCTGTGCTTCGCTGGCTGATGGAGGCTTTTGCATGGAATTGAGGATTGAGTCGAGTAGATCCATGATTAAATCTGGTTTTCTGATATAAATGATGTGTATGAAAGTATTTCAGTTATTCTCTTCTGCCAGTTTACAGGAAAGCGGAAGTTGTCTCCGATTGTTTCTGTATTTAGTTCTTTTAATGATAGTATGTTTAATGATGTTTCTATTTGGGCGCACACTTGACTACCAAATGTTATTGTATCTTCAGCAAATTCTAGCAGTTGTTTTAAAGAGGGTTGAAGAGGAGTACCCTTTACTAGGGCAGAGTTGGCTTCAAAATCAATATCCCTGCAGCTTTCCCTCAGTGTGGTGTTTTTATTGCAGAGTTTTTCAAAAAGCTCTTCTAATGTGCACCTGAAATTTTAAAATGATTTTTAATGGAAACATTCTTTTTAAATTACTAAACATAAAGGTTTGATCTGGTCTCTAGGCTGTATAGAAACAAATTATTGCTTATCTCAAATCAGTTCTGTCAGGCATAGTGACTCACAATGGCAGAATATATTATCAGTTACATTTGAGTATTTGACATTTATATTGTATAAAACTCTTAGTAAGAACAATCATCATTATTGTATTAATACAAGTAACAATAATATTAGATTGGTTATTTAGTAACAAACCTTCTTTGAATTAAAAAAAACAACATTAACATAAAGACTTCCTGACTTTCTGAACTGCTTGTGAGTGGTAATGAACAATACTGAACACTATAATATATGAAATAAAAGTCATTTTAAAAGTACCACTTAAATCATAAACAAGATATGGTATTTTTAAAGAGTTTGGCAATTCATCTGAAGGCAAAATTATTTCGATATCATGGTCAGAGTGTAGCAAAGGGTGTGCACCCTTTGCTACACTCTGACCGATATCATTTTTAATATTGTTTTTTCAGGTAGTGTAGTAGTGTAGTAGTACAAAGAAATATACAATTTTAAGGATGACATTATTAACAAAAAGTCCAGTTATGCAATTTAAGAAAACCTTTTCCAATGTCAGGGTAATCAAATCCTGAATACAAACATCGTTTATCGATTAAACAAGAACCTAAAATATATAATTACTTAGATAAACAGTATGATTTAATAAACTATAATTGTTTAAAATATAAAGATAAAGAAATACTTACAATTTACTCCTGATATCTTGTACGTCTTCCGAGATTAGGTTAAGTATGGAAGCACTTAGTTTGCTTTGCAATCCTTCAAATTCGTCCAACGGCGTACCCGTCACGACCGCCCTACAACATCAAAATGTCGTTACACGCGCTCGTAAAACACAAACAATAAATTTCTTAGTAATTTCACTCACTCCTTTATGTTCTTGCAACGCTTTATCAGTTTATTTATAGACGCAGCGCAGTTTTGGCAATCTTTCAAACTTGTTTTCACTACCGTATGAAATTCGTCGAAATATGAAAAGTAGTCAATTAGTTGTTTTTGTACTTTCGTTTCCATTATTTGCGAAATTATCCATGTTTTGTTTATCACTGTTTGTTAAAATGTTCGCATTTACTCCTCGGTGCCTCGATAAATAACACAAGAAAAAAGCGAATGACTGATTGAAAACTGAAGTTTATTGAAGTGAAGTAAGCTGCGAACTCAAATGGTATATTGGTACCACTAGAAAAATGACAGCTTTTTTCGTAAACGAAGTGAGCTATGAAACATGTTGGGTTTGTAATTTTTTAAAAAAATGACCAGTGACTTCAGATAATATATAGTTTTAATTTAAAATAAAGATACAGAAATTACTCAGAGCAATTAAGTAATTGTTGAAATTGTTTTTAAGTATCAACAATGTTTTTAATTTTAGTTTCAATTGTAACTAACATTTTTTTGTAGCTATCTTCATAAATAATTTTGTGATTGTAAGACGGTAATCGTAAAAGTTGGCAAATCGGTATTCTACCGAAAATTTTTATTTATCAGCGAAGAGCAAATCTTTTTTTATCAATTAAATTTTTTTATAAAATGTTTATTTTTTTTTTGTTGCCTCGGTAAAGTTCGGTATAACTCGGCTAGTGGTCGATTGCACCTGTCAAAACTAGGAACCAATAGCAAGCCTTCGTATGTGACCTCGAAAAACACCAGTCTTGATTTTGATACGAAGAGAAGTGCATGTCTAAATTTATCGCGATTTAGTAAATGAAAACACGTCGTAGATCTCTTAAATTAATAAGTGCACACCTAAATATTTTTGATCAAGTGTGAAATAAAATGAGTGTAATTGATGTGATGTAATTTGAGCTTAACTCATGATAATTGTGTTTTTGCTTTCGTGAAAATGAATGGCAAACTGCATAGTGAAACCGGCGCTTTCTCATCTGACGACATGCGCGCCGAAATATTGAACCCTTTCGTCCACAAATTGGAGCTAGATAACACATATGACAAAATAAAGGTACGGAAACGATGAAAGCAGGTTCTCAATTGCATAACTCAGTAAAGTGAAAGTATTTTTATAATGTAGTAAATGTGTAAAAGCTCTACACCGAGACATTCTGCGCATGTCTAAATCTAATAATGACTTAGTTATGAAGAAAATGCTGCAAATTAGATATGGAACCAAAACAATAATTACCAACAGCAAAAAATTACGTTTATTGTTCTAAGTACAAGATGAAACATAATTATAGTTAGGAGCCTTACGATAATTTAATGCATTGTGATTATATTGTTACTTAATTTATTCAAAAGTATTCTAACACCGAATGAGGAACAATTAAATTAATGCGGTTGCCAAATATGTACTCTAGAAAATACTTGTCTTCAAGGCCTTGTGCTTGTGTTATTGACAATGAATTGTTGAATACAAATAAATTGGACCTTCCATTATCTGTTGCTTTTTATTTATTTTTTATTGCATTTGAGACTAACTCTGATTTTAATGTTCGAATTCCAATAACAGATTTAAATTTTAATTCACCTTTGTGGTACACATAACTATGTTAATTGACTTAACTCGGAGGCACACGTAAAGATCAATATTATTACGCATTTTACATCATCTCTCAAGAAAATAAAAAGAAACATCACAAAAATTTATATAGAAGAAGAACACTGATTGATCAAAGATTTGTTATTTCGATTTCTGCATTGTTGATAAAGAGTGATCTTATGATAGGACATACGTAAGTGCTTAACATGCCCAAATGGCAATGAGTCAATATTTAGGAAATACTAAAGTGAAAAAAAAGATATCACTATTTAAGTAGTATTGGAGTGGCTTACTACTGTTATCTATCTCTTCATCTAGAAATACTTACATCTACGATCATACCAAAATACTACGACACGAATTCTAGGTACATACATGTAATAAAAAATAATCATAAAACAATACAATCTAAAATACATAAGAAGCAGATTATATTAATACATGAAGCATCAAAATAATGCGAAAATTCAATTGTAAATCTATAACAACTTTATTGTATATTACGTTCAACAAATAGGTGATTTATAACATTTATTGTAATTTATAACTGTTTTACAAAGCAACAATGTTAAGATTTTAATCATTGGTTGTGGTGTACGGAAACAGTTACTCATAATCTTTATGTCAGGGAAAGTCAGTATTTTTCATGATATATTCTGGTACCGTTTTGTGCAGACCGCGAGATAGGCATCGTACAACGTACAACACTACACTCGGAATTTTAATTCGATTCCAGATTTGACAATTTCAGTGTTGCAACGTTATGACAAGTACTAAATAGTGACGTTGTGAAAGTATTCGATATGGAAATGGAATATTTCGGGATCGATTCTTCTCGTTTATAATTTTAGTCTAGTAAACTAAGTTTATCAGGAAATTAAATATTTCTGATCGATTATTTAGTTTTGACGATTAATTAACGATCTGAGACTTTTATTTTATAATTGTGTCTGAAATAAATAAAAAAATGTAACCATGAAGGAACATGACAAATAAAACAGATAGATGTGTTATGGTGATAATTTATTTTGTAAATTGTCGCCGTCATCGCTATCGCTATCCTGTCACTTTCTGTAACCTTTATTATAAAACACACACACTGAGTGTTTATCGATTTTTGTGTTCATCACTACACTATTATATGTGGTATCATTATTTCACAAAATGACAGTAGCCAATGTCAAATCTGGAATCGAATTAAAATTCTGACTATAGTCACGCAATCGCGATGAAAGAAAGTGACATCATTTTCTTAAAATTTTCGCCGCTCATTGAACTTACTTATGTAACAGAAACATAGCATAAACAAACTTTATATGGAAGTAAGAATTCTTAAAACATCTCAGTAATTATTTTAATAAAAATAAAAATATTAGAATTAGACAACAAGTTTAGAGAAAGTGCGTTTGATGATATAATAAATTATGTTGGTTGCGTAACAACGAATAGCAGCTTGTTACGCATCTATTGGTGCAAACCTCTTTGTTTTCATGTTTTGTTCGACGATTGAATGTTTGTTTACTAGAATATTTATACAATTTAATATAATTTCTATCATCCTAGACCCACAAAACAATACAAGAACAGCTACTTACATCTAATAAATTATTTAACGAGAAATTGTTTACTTCATTCTATGTTAGCTACCATTCTATACATATAAGTTTCAATATAGAAATGTTTTGTGCTAACCTTAGTACTAAATAGTATTGCTGAATCATTGAAGTGAGATTTATCAAACTCGTGGTACAGATGCATTTGGCATGGGTATCAACAGGCGACGAAAACGAAACACGTGTTTATATTACGCGTTGCATCCATTCATAGCACTAAAGGTTAAGTAATTTGCGTAATATTTATATTGTACAAAATATCATAATAATATTTTTGTTATTTACATCGCCCTATTTTTTATAACAGTAAATACATACAGTTTTATTTATATACCTATAGAATCAGAAATAAACAAATAAATAAATTGCATAATTTAATTCAACAAAAGTGAATTTATTTACACGCAATGCAGTTTATGATTTATAATGTAATAACATAATTTGCATAATTACACTTTATTTAAATTACAATGCTTATAAATGTATAAAATACTGCACACATATCTGTACAAGCCGTTTCAGCAATTTGAGAAAAAGTCTTCAAATAGGTACGACAATTATTTTCGGTTTAACCTCAATATTTACTTGATTAAACTCGCGATCTGCTTGAAGACAATGATACATTAAAAATAACGTCTGATTCTCTAAAAAGTGCATGAGTCATTATTCAAATAAAGATCACTTTACTGGAAGTTAGTAATTGTACCCAATCACTCTCGTATAACAGTTACTTATACTAAAGTTTAAATTATTCTGCCGCATGCTAAAGTTTTATTATCGTTTGTTTCAGACGGCAATATTCACCGTAATATTACTGCCTTTTCGTGTCATCGTTATTTGTTACCTAATAGTAACGGCATGGTTCCTCGCGTGTATTGGTCTCTATGGCCTAAGCGAAGAAGATCTTAGGCGAAAGCCTATGACGGGATGGAGAAGGTAACACTTTTAATTGATTTATAATTTAAGTGACTTTTTGTTGTCATTATGGTCTTTTGCTGTTTGTGTATGTTGTTTTGTTCCTAGTCATCTCTGAAATAAATCTTTAACATACTTATTTTAAACATCTTAAACATTGCATACGTTCTAAGTATAACCTTGGTAATACTTATTAGTACTGAAATATAAAATCTTTAAAATGCGATAATTATATTCATTATTCCACAAAAAAAATGAAAACAAAAATCTGTGTCATTCACGTTATAATGAAGTAGGTACCATAGTTTCTGCAGTTAACCACTTGTCTGATGCTCGACGAAGCGTTCCATAAGTAGGTCAATTTTGTGTTCGGGTATGCAAGAGCACCTTGGTCTCACAGATTCACGAAACGGAACGTAACTGCAGATTAAATAAAAATAACGCAAGGTCAATTTGAAAGACTTAGTAGAGGTATTATCATTTAATTTGTCCTTTTCATTTTTCACGATTTCTATTTAACTCGTAATTAATCTTCTATGTTAAATGTCTGACAATGTTAGCAAGAGTCATCAGTAAGCGCTGGCTAAACACGTACACAGGTATCTGAGCAATTTACTTTCTTTGGTATGTATGCCAGATTGCTGTCTCGATAGATGAATGGAATGCATTGAAATGATTTCTGCTGTCATACTCAAGTCGACCTTGATAACGTTTTCATAACATTGTAAATAACGCAGACTAGAAACGCTAAAATGACGAAAAAATAACTTGACATCATATTATACATTAAAGACTAAATAATAGTTTTGCGTCGTATGTCAATGCATTTTTGACGAATAACAAATGAGAAACCGGTAATTTTTATAAAACCGGTTTTTGATGTTCAACCGGTAAAACACCTCTAAAGTTAGTTCCGAATTTGATTTTATTTTGGTTCAAATATGTTCAATACACTTGTATGTATGAGAATTTATGATTTGTATTTGTATTTTACGTACCCATTTAACGATTTAAAATATGTATACCAAAAATATCATCTTAGGTACTGTCGGTAACTAGACTAGACAGGTTCGTTATTTTAGGTACTTTCATGAACCACAAAAGGTAATTTTCTTGTTTGCGTGATAAAATTTTATAAGTACCCAGTTAAGCATTAAATTGTTAGCCATTTATGTAAGCAGGTTTATCAGTGTATAGTAACGATATAGATCGTTAATATTTTATTTACATAACATATCTAGTTTACTTATATTTGTTACGTACGTAAAATATAAGTTCAAGAGGTTAGCATCCGCGCATTTGCATGGAGTATGGAATCGATAATTATTGTATTTTTTTTTCGCGAAATTTAACCATTGGTATCATTTACTTTCATGTAGGTTTCAAAGTGTCAATGGACTCAGGGTCTGGCTCTATCCTTTTCTATTAGGTAAACATGACCTCATGTTATGTTAGCGCCATCTGGTGAGGAAGAAACCTAAGCCCACATTGCGAATTTGTTTATGACTTGTATATTACAGAATTGTAGGTGATTAGCAAGTGTTATTTTAAATGTAAAATTATAGCCATAAATAAGTAATATTTATGTGCATAAAAAATCGGTTGTCGAAGTTTTAGCAGTCTATGGTTACCATAAAGCCAGAGCCAATAAAGAAAGAGCCAAAGAGTCGTTAGATCATGGCGGGCGCTAGCTAGAAAGCGCGGGAAAGTGGACAATATGGTTATTGGTTCTTGCCGCAGTGTCATCTTGAGTAATCTTGACCTCCTTGGTTGATAGGTTTTTTTGCGTTAAGAAAATGATCGTGTGTTAATTTTGTTATCATCAACAAACCGAACATTTATTTTGCTGCTGTAATTATCTGCTGATAGCCAAGTAGGTATCTAGCATAGATATAATCTAGACTTACTGTTTAACCCAAAGAGGTTTATGTAGACCTATTCAAGTACTTTTTTCTACAGACGTTATCATTTATTTTGTACCTAAATGTTTATGTTGATTGAGTACAATTTCCGTTAGCAAAACGAAAGTGTTTAACTTCTGAACATTGGATATATCTTCTTAAAAAAGATGTAGGTACCACTTATCTGCAAATACCAAGACGTATCATACCACTACCGATCGTCATAAATTACTTTAAAAAGACTAAAACAAAAGTACCTTGGTATCATCAGCAAATCAAGCTACCCAATAAACACTTTCGACTCTCTCTTTTTGTAATAACGTTGAAAATGCAATAAAATATGTCATTTTGGTGTAGTTTTATATCATACTGTGTGCTATTCACAATTAAAAGTAATTATTAATAGTTTTTGCTTCCAAAGTCAGTTGAGTTTCTAATTACTCATATTTAAGTAGATATCGCTTTCATTTCAATGCCAGCAATATAAATATAAAGTACAATCAACCAACTTATTTAGTTTGCAGGCTAGATAATTAAGTTTGATTCAGTATAGAAGAGACAGTAACGATGGCTACCTGTAAAAAAAGGCTGTGCTTTTTAGCGAATATGTATTGTAAGTAGGTATTGGTCTGCTCAGTAGTCAACCAATGGTTATTGTTTGCCTGACCAGGGCTGCGGACAACCGCAAGTGTTACTAGGGCTACGGCTGGAAACAGAAGTTACGTTAGGTTTTTCTGACACTCCCTCTAGTTTCGAGCAGCTCGGGAAGAGAGGTCTGATGATTTTTCATACATACATAACATTACGCCTTTTATCTCCGAACGGGTAGGCAGAGGTGCACATTACGGCACTTGATGCCACTGTACAATGTAACACCCACATTTCACTATTTATGTTATGAGCTCCATGTAATAGGGGGTGAGCCTATTCCTATATACCGGGCCCAAATCCAGACTCCGTGCTACTACTGAGCATTTTTAAAAACCCAGTAATACTTTGCCCGACCACTCGGCCAACGAGGCAGTCGATTGATGATTTTCCCTATCAAAAGAAACATGTTACCATCTCTGTGCTGAAGCAATCGTCATCTGCATACGAAACAACTTGGTCGACTGTACCTTTGGGAAATTATTGTCTAGTCATCGCCGTAAACGCTTCGTGATTCACGTCTGTCAGTTGTGATTACAATTGAACTAGTTCAATGGTATCTGTTTATTGTGGAGTCCAAATGTAATGGTCCTACATACTTCTGTACTTATACTTAGGTATGTTGGCGGCGGTATAACTTCTGATGTTTTGTTTTTTTTTGTTTATCGCAGTATTTTTATGCGTCAACTGCAATTTTTGTCACAAATTATCTACGAGGATAATAAAACGGTTGAAATCTAAAAGGTCTAAAATTAAAGCAAAACTTTTTTAGGATTTGTTGTTAATTTAATTTCAACTTTATTGTTTTGTTGATAATTAGGTTGAATATGTATAAAGGGAACGGATGAGAGAAGGTTGATCCGCCAACTTTTATAATTCACTTACAAATGTGTGATTAATGATGAAGATTTTTTACCAATCAGATTATGTTCGTGTGTAATAACGGAATATATTGTAACTGTTCAGCCCTTTCGTCATCAGATTGATGATTATACGGATCGAAGGTATAGTTGGTTAGATTAATGAACTGGCCCAATTCAATAAGTCATCATCATCTATTTAGATCCGTGTCGCTAAAGATTTTTGAAGAGACAGATGAAGAAGAGATTTTTATATGGTTTAGGAAGACTATTCCGTGGTCTTGAATTCGATTTCTAGATGCGTGGCTTAAAAATGTTCGTAATTGCCTAACGCTTTTATTTACCGAAACAAAAACTTGTGCGGTTCGTACCCTTTGTTACTATAGCCAGATTGGTCCATGTAGGTACCTATTGAAGTCTCATGAGACCCCTAAGCATAAGATAAAGACTCACATGCCCATGGCTAGTACGCCAATGATCTGGATCCTAATAGTAATAGTAATTATTTTTGTCTTTACTGCTTTTTAGTGACTTTTGATACAATGATGTTCAGCAACATTTGGATTTATGGTGTACAGCGCCTTTAGGCATACTAGTGCACAGATACTTCTGAAATAGTGTTGTGTGTCGTGTTTAACGACTTTTGTAAATTTCTGGTGTACAGGCTATTTTGTTTCCAAGTTGCGACTATAACTTATGGCATTTTATAGTGAACAGGTGTTTTGTTATGTTGATTCTGTTCATCTACTTTTGGTGCTGGTACAGACAGCTATTCTGAAGGGTCTATTCTGTGCTCTTTCTTTAGGAAATGAAAGATGTGAAGTTATTGATACAGAGTCTGTATCAAACTACCAAAGTACTTACCAATTAATACATTTTATTTGTCTGTATGACTATTAGATACTTGAGAATAAGTCAACAGAAATAATTCGCTTTTCATCATCTTAAAACCTTGACGGCTTACTAGAAGTGAACGTAAGCAAACATTGTTTTGAAAATTCAAAATACCGCAATACTTAATGAGACGAATTGCATGGATCAAATTGCGGTGCAATCATTGTTTGTGACGTCTTTACTTTACCTTTTTGTCGAAATAATATAAGTGGTTAAGTATTTAAATAATCTTACATAGAGTAGGTAAGGTAGAGATTGTAAATAATTTTTGTTAATAGTATTTTATTATGACTTTTAAAGGAGATTGCCATAAAGACAAACAATTCAGTCCATCCATGGTCGATCCACTGTCAAATAATGCAATTCCGAATCACTGCCAATATACCTATATTGATATTTTAACTTTAGTATATTCTTAAGCACTGTATTGTGTCATTATTGTGAAAGGAAAGACTGCCTCGTTGGCCGAGTGGTCGCAAGTGCGACTGCCGGGCAAGGGGTTTCGGGTTCGATTCCCGGGTTGGGCAAAGTATTACTGGGTTTTTAAAAATTCTCAGTAGGTAGTAGCACGGAGTCTGGAATTGTGCCCGGTATATGGCAATAGGCTCACCCCCTATGAGGCGGGAGGGAGTGTCAGACTCTTACTGACTAAAAACCACCCCGTTCCTTCTCCTGCACGTCGAGCCGGAGCCCCGGTTACCCGTCAGGTTTTCCGCGACAAACTTTAAGAGGTACAGGGTACCTATATCCATCCCTACCTATATTCACCCTAGCGTTTGTCCAGCATAGTAGTTCGATAAACGTATGCTCCGCGTTGACGCCACGAATATCAGGCGCATACGTTTATTGGACGCCTTCACTGGTGAACGATTAGTGTGAAGGCGCTCTTAACTCGTCGAGTACCGGTTTTGTAGACACAATTATAGAACAATAGGTTGCGGTCACCGGTGACCGCTTGGTGTTTGACAGTTTAATAGTAATTTTGATTAACAAAACCCATTGCACCTTACTGTTTTACTAAAAATTAAACTTAAGATCTTACAACCTGTTAAAAATCTAAAATATACCTTATGACCGTGTATCATCTAAACATATTATACTTTGATTGATTGGCGTTTCTTGTTTTTTGTAACGTAAATGTTTTAAATATCACATTAGAATGCAAAAACTAACAGAAGGTCAGACATAAGATCAAATAACCTTCTATGGGGACGTGCAAAATACATTTTGATGTTATAAATTAATATTTCCTACTTATATCATAGGCATTTGTCACGATTTCCGGTACCGATAATTAAAATTTAAAAGCGATAATTAAACATTTTAACAATGTATGTAGGTATATTTCATATATTTTAATATCTAGTTGATTTTAGCCTTTTAGATTCAACGATATTAGTAGATACTTAATTTTCATTATCTTTTAGCTAATTTATTAGAAACAAGTTTTCTATTTGACAAAAAAGCATGAGGTCACACACAACACAGAATCTTATACAAAATTAAAAAAAAAACGATCATTTTAAATTTCGAAATAACTGAATTTGACGCAGAATAAATGGTTTTTTTCTTTTTGATCATGCTTTCAAAGTATCTTAATCTTCGATTCGTATTTTAAAAAAGGTCATCTAAAAGTTTTATCGCTATAAGTTATTGAATTTGTCACCAAGTACTGACGAGCTATGACTCATATAATAATCGCCGATATACTTATCATACGACTTCATACGTCTAACTTAAACACACAAAATTCGAGTTTATCAATAAAATCGTATGATCTGATTAGATTAATATCAGTGCTTGCGGTTTTTTCGACGCTGTCCAAACGATGTAAGCGAACGCAGTTTTTAGATACGGTCCAATGGAATATAAAGTAAAATGAGGAAATGTATGTGGGTCATTAGATACTTTGTGTTGCATGTTTGGGTCCAATGGTGTTACGTCAGTTATATAGAAAACATTTGTTATAACTATATTGGTTGTATCTGTTGATATATTGGCTCCAAAGCATATTATGTTGGTACTGATATGGACCAAAGTTGACTATGAAATATAAAATGTATTGTGATTGACACAACTTCTGTTTTGAGTCAGAACTTTTGCATATAACTAATTAGTTAATTATAATAAATTGTTAACTTACTTTCTTAACAAATGATTATTTTTAATTTATTAGCAAGTGAAGGCCGGTCTATTTAAAATGCTATTCATGTACTGTCCGTTACAGTACAGACAGTTTTCAAATGAAGATAAATGAATAATCAACACTTTCTATTTCACCTGAGTGAGATCGTTACTTTCTCACACAAACCGATTATGTTAACATGTTATTTTGTTGTTAAAATATTGTTTTTTATGTTTTTTTATTGCGTACTATAAGATTTTATGTCTAGCTTTATATGAGAGACCCGTCATACAAGTCACAACTTAGGCATAGTCTAACGGGACATTTAAAAAACGACGCAAACTTTCGATGGTGATGAAGTTAAGCGTAGTTTTAACTAATGGTATTTCCGTATTTATATGTAAGTACATTAATCGTATGAACCGGTTTCGTAAACACGGTGGAGGCATTCCAAATAAACGTAACAGATTCACACATTTTTGTTCATATAAAGATTAACAATTGGTATATAACAAATTATATTAAAATTGAATGCATGATGCTAAACGTGGTATATGGGTAACTAACATTCCCGAAACTAACAATGGCTTAATTTTCACCTTCGTAACAATAAGGTTTGTTCCACAGCAAACTGCGCTTCTCGATCTTGTCGCTAATGCGGTTGGTGGTGGTGGCAGCAGGGTTCCATCGGGTCCGAGTGCTGGGGCGGCAGCACGTGCCTTCTAACTCTCGGGAAGCCCCCGTGGTGGTGATGGCACCACATTCCACCTTCTTCGACGCCATCGCCATCGTCTGCCTCGGTGCACCCAGCGTGGTGGCCAAAGCAGACACCGCGAGGTTGCCGTTCATAGGACGTAGGTCTATAGTAGCATGATCGTTAACATCGTCTAGCTATTCTGCTTCCATTATTGTGGATGTCTCTAATGTTATGTGTGTATATTTTGCTTTGGTTGTCTCGTGTGTTGTGATAACAGCTTTTTTTATTACCTATGTTATGTCCTGCTTGCATTGTCTCACATTTCTGCTAACAGTATTTCTACATTTTTATGTTTCGCTTGCATTTTCTTGTATATCTCCCACACAGTTTTTTTCGGTCTTGTGCTAAAACAATAGTACTTTTTTGGTTACATTTCAGTTTAGACGTTGCCCGACAAAATATTTAGAGCATGAATTAATATGCAGAATCATGAATTAGCCTTCACTGTGTTATTGAGAAACGGTCCCAACAAATTAGTGTACATTGTGATGTGGTGTTTTTTCCTCACTTAGTATTTAGAGAGCTTGCTTGAATGCTAATGAAGTTTGTTATTGCTTTTACTGTTGTCTGAATGGCTTCTAATTTTTTTATTAACATGTTTTAGATAAACTGTACTAGCGTACAGATGTTTTTGTACAAGCCATTAATGTCTAATGTCTTAAATAGTTTTTGATATTTTGATCTACTGTGTTGATTGAAGTTTTGATCTAATTGCGGAATTTTCGGGCGTCTCAATATTGACTGACTGCTAAATCGATGGAAATGATCGAATGTTTTTTTATTAGACGACCTTCCTGTTAGTATTCGTATATTTTTCCTAATAAGTAATTCCCACATAATCCCATAACGAATAATGTATTATTTTCCTGTTCTGATACGTGAAACAGGAATCAAAGAATGTACCTACTCGGTCTCTTGCTTTACCTTGCTTCACTGACGTACTGACTGACAGACAATTATTTATTTTGTATTTATTGACGTTTCAAAGTACCAAAGTATGGTTTAGTTGAAATAAATGCTTTGACTTTGACTTCTCTCTTTAGCGAATTTGCTAAAGGTACCTATCGTGCTAAATTGCGAGAAAAGAGTAATGGTACATATATGTATATTTTATACTAGTTACTTCACACGCTCTGCTCAGCTCCTTTTGGTCCTAGCGTGATGTTTTATTGCATATAGCCATCCTCGATAAATGCTCTATCCAAGACAAAAATAATTATTCAAATCAGACTTGTAGTTACGGAGATTAGCGCATTCAAACAAACATAGAAACAAAAAAACAAACTCTTCCGCTTTATATAATAGTATTTTAAGATACTTTTTATTGAATATCGCTGTTTTTAACCGATCAATGGCGAGACTTATTATTTTATTACTTCTAAAGTGATATACATTTTTTGGATCGAATATAAAACCGGTATAATTTGTTCATTTTTAGTTAAAACCGTATAAACATGTACTTACTTATTCGGTTATTTTTGGAGATCAGACAGACAAACATGCTAATTTTAAATTAAGTAAAATCGCGGGTTACTCACGTGAATATACTGAGGAAGAACCCCTCTGTGGTTCGAAACTAGTAGAGCTTTTCTCAGTATATTCACGTGAGTAACCCGCAATTTTACTTAATTTAGTATGTCTCACGATAGTTATTATAAAAACATGCTAATTTTATTTATTTTTTAATAATTTATGTACACACAAACAGCACAGAGGATAACACATATTATATAAAATAAGAGTACAAAGGTGCTACTTATTCCTGTTGGAATTTCTTCCAGTAGACCTGGAGCTTTTATATGTTTTGATAGTACAGTGACACTGTTATGATCTATATATAATGTATGTGTCTATAAATTACGCCACTCCCCAATCTCCCCAATCCTTGATTCCTCAACAATCCTGAAATTCCTAATCTCCTAAATGGCCGGCAACCCACTTATAACGCCTATTGTGTTCCGGGTGTCTATGGGCAGCGCCGATTACTTACCATAGCTGATCCGTCTGTTCGTTTACTGGCTTATTCTATAAAAAAATGCAGTGTAATTATATGAATGTATGATAATGTAGGTTATTTTTTATACATTGACCTTGAATGTATGATAAAGTGGCACATTTGACGCCATTATTCAGACTGATTGTGACGAATTATCTCAATAGTTATTGCAAAATGCGTGAATCATTAATTTTATGACTAAGTTCGGATTCAAATAAATATTTAAATATTTGTTGTTATGTTAAATGGTCAAATATTTAATATACAAATGTTGCTTTTGTACCTAGTTATTAACGTTTATATAATATTATATTATAGCACATAGAAATTATTATCTACTAAATAGCTATTCCTGTGCAGTTTTACCCACTGCTCGACTCCTATTTATCGTAGCGTGATGTTTAATACCCTGTAGCGTTCCTCGATAAATGGACTATCCCACACAAAAATAATTATTTAATTCGAAACATTACTTCTTGAGATAAGCGCGTTCAGCTTAATATTGGTAGAAATACACACATACATACAACTACACATATACAGAGCGGATATGAATGGGAGCTTCGACAGAGGGCGCCCTAGACGGACACGTACTGACCAGATCGGCGATAGTTTAAAGAAAGGCCAAATTAAAAGTACCATTAACCGACGATCATGCATGAAAAGAGGTATGTAGGAAACGTAGCACTTGGCGTTCCATAGTCTCTGCCTACCTTAATGGGAGACAGGCGTGAAGTTATGTATGTAAGTATGTATGTATGTAAATAAAGTGATAGCTACCTAATAAGCACGGTTCATGCTTAACTCGTCGAGTACCGTCATTATAGACACAATTATAGAACAATAGGTTGCGGTCACCGGTGACCGCTTGGTGTTTGACAGTTTAAACATGCTATTATGTATCAAGTTTGCGTTTTTATGATACTGCATACGCCCAAAACCCATTTATTTGGTTGTAATAAATGTTTTTAAAAACAATTTATGTTCATTTCACTATGGCATAAATGTTATTTGTACATAGTAGTATACAAAGAGGTTGACTATTTCTTACTATTAGGACTATTTTCCAAAATACAGTTCTAGTCTTGTAAAGCGACAGAAACCATGCTTTCTTTAATTGATTTCCAACTTAGTACTGTTAGGATATGGTTAAAAATCAAGTGTACCTAATTGATCGATTTTTGACGGAACTGCAGGCTATGATGAGCCATAATACTTTTATCTTCTTAGCAGTTGTAAAATTTACACTATTAATGAGGAAGGAACAAGATATTAAAAAAAGTCAGCTACGTGACTACGTAGCTGACTTGACTAAGTTGGTCATTCGTCTCAACGCCATTACTGACCATACCTACTATCAATAGAAGCCACAGAGTATACATTTGTCTGTTAAACTGACAGCTCTGACTACTCTGTGTCAAACGTTTTTATACCACTTTTTTATCTGTGCCGTTAACGGAAACAGTTCGAAATTACTGTCAACTTTGATAGTCTTTATGCAGTTATGTTAAAGTTTATTTTTGTGTTGTTTCTTAACATAAAAAGCTTGTGTGTATTTACTGCATGCTAGTTAGATTTATCTTGTATCTTAATAACTATTTCACTGGAATTAATGAAATTAATTGGACTAATAAATTTATCTGACATGCGATTGACATTGCACTTGGTATTACTGACCTAAGGCAATGTGACTAATAGGTACATATATATACTTGTGTATTCGTACTTGCCAACTAGTCAAACTTAATAATTTTTACGAACTGTCAAATACGACAGTTTTCTATGAATTTTGTACGAGAGTTGTGTATTGTGACGTCACATTTTTTTTAGAGTGGAACAGCATACTTATGTCTTAATAATTTGCTGATAAATTACTAAAATTAGGTTGGTCATAAAATCAATCAATGAAAGTGTGATAATTTTTAAATATTTGATTGTATTAAGTAAAAACGCGGGTTACTCACGTGAATATACTGAGAAAAGCTCTACTAGTTTCGAACCACAGAGGGGTTCTTCCTCATGAGCAGCGTAGCTTTAGCTTCGTCCAACGCGCTGCCGGAGTTGGAAGCAAATGCTCGTAGTGTCCGACAGAGGGCGCGTTGGGCTCGCAGCGCAGGTGGCAACACCGAGGCGAGCGCCAACGCCAGCCAGTGAGCTGCGCGACGTCGCCGCGACCGCGCACGCTGCTCATGAGGAAGAACCCCTCTGTGGTTCGAAACTAGTAGAGCTTTTCTCAGTATATTCACGTGAGTAACCCGCGTTTTTACTTAA